GATTCTGCACACTCACACTCCTCATTGGGCACATACAACTTCTTACTTGAGGGCAACAGTTTCTATGACTCCTTTCTGGACAAGAATTGCTTTAAGTTGGAAAAGGGAGGGAGAGAGGACCATATTGGTTGCTGGTCCCAACCCCCACACTGAGACATCCAATGGTGCTGAAAGGGAGAGGAATGTACTCTCACTTGGCCTGGTTTTAGGACCCAGAGTGGGAATGAAGACAGTGTGTTTGTGAGTGTGCCTATGTTCTTAGGATTGTCTCAGCTTCTATGTGGGGCCATAATGGGGGACAACCCAGGCTTGGCATAGGAAACCCCAACTGTGACATACTTACCTGAATCCTATCTGCCACGACAGATGGTAGTCACTCTGATTTGCTTCTGTGAACAGCAAATCAGTAAAGTCTGGCTCTTCTGTCTTCCCAGGTAGGGAATGTGGAGGGTTATTTCTCCAGGGAAACAATTTCCCTCTGGGAAAATGAGGGACTCAGCCTCAGTGCCCTCTCCCCTTTGATCCCCTCAGAGGTTGGAAGTAATATATTTCCACACTTTCAGGTAACTCAAACCCGAGTCCAGCTGGGTGCTAGCACCATGGACAACAGCCAAGACCCCTTTTGGAGAGGGGTAGGGGAAGACCATTACCCAGGCAAACATACATATATCCTTTAGTAGAGAAGCATTTTCCCCAAAACATCTCCAGGGAAGAGGTAGAGCAGAACCTTCCCTGAGAGAAGGATCAATAATAGGAAAGGCCTCTGGATCTTACTTTAAGCAATGTATGAAGTAATTAATTTAATTGCTAATGAATAGTTCACTTAAAAGACATCATCATTCATATAATACACAGCCCCAAGGCCTCAGGTGAAAGGGACCAGGCTTCAGTCTGACCCACACTTTAACCAGTGCTTCTCAAACCTTTTCCTTATAGACAACTGCCCTCTATACTGCTGCCTCCAAACACAACACCTTCCAGTTAACACCGCTAGCTGTGGCACACCAGGATCAGACAGACCTATGATCTTGAACTGCCATTAAGAGGAGCTTAAACTGGAGTTGGAGACTCATGTCATGGAAAGATTCTGTCTATCTCACTCCAAATGAGTCCAAATTCACTTTACATCACTTCTTTGGGTGAGCACATTATCTGGGAAGGGCTAATAGAACCCACACAATCCCCAGAGCAAGAAGGATAGCTCCAGCCTTCCCCTACCCCCCTGTGTTTAGGGGGCTAGAGGAGCTTTCATTCTTGCAAATAACCACCATCCTTCACATTAGCAATGTCTATTTTCCCTCATATTTTCATATCTATTATGACAACACAAATTTCCAAGGCTCTGTGAAGCTCCAAATGAAAAACACTTTTAGAATTTGTTAACCAGCTACTACTTGAAATAAATGGACCATAATCTAGTGTAGAAATCTTTTCATACCATCACTGATCTTCTTTGCAATGGCATTCAACCTGTCCCTTGTTTATCCTCATTCCAACCCTATGAGGTAGACAGGAAAACCACAGCAGAGAGATTTTTTTCTAAATCACACAACTTGTAGGTGGCAGGTCCACCCTTTAGAGACTTCTGAGCACTGCCATCTAGCAGCCAGTGTGAATTATTCACCAGCAAGTGGGAGTTATACCTTCAACTCAGAACCCACTGCTGTATTTTGGATTTGCAACCTCTGCAGAGAAACCTCCCCATACCTCCCAACCCTCTAGAAAAGCCCCAGATGAGAAAGGAGTCTCCACGTGCATATAAATGATTCTTTATGCCCTCCCCCCACGCAATGGGGGGTAGAGCAGGGGAAAGTGCCCCCGCCCTCATGCAGGGAACGGGTGGTCAATGTATACTAGTCTTATTGCCAGCTGCCCTGTGGCCATGATATGAGGAATGGGGAGGGGTCTACAGCCCCTTTCTTCTGGCATTGGTCCCCCTTCACCAAGTCACCGTGGTGGAGCTGGGGGGAGGGGGGGCTGGAGGCCCTAGGAGCTGAGGTAAGGACGGTTCTCTAAGGAAGAAAAGCTGCCCACTGGCTGCCCCAGAATGAGTGTAAGGACCCGTCAGTGTGGGGCTGGAATGTCATCCAGGTGTCACTACCCAGTGGGCAGTAGAGGCCAGACAACGTTTCCACCTTGAGGCTGCCCACAGAGATTCTCAGCGGTGGGGGCAGTGTGCCCCAAGCATCTGGTCAAGCGGTACCTCCAGCAGCCATGATAGCTCATCTCTGGCTGATGTAATGACTCAAGATCCCCACTCCTAGAGTCCAGTTCAGACTGTGGTGACTCTCATGACAACCTCTCGGCCAGAATGGGAACTGGAACGCGCATCTGGTGGCCGCAGCTGTCCAAGGAGATGCAGGATTGTGTAACCACAGCGCTGAGGCAAGAGCGTCCGCATGCGCTGGGCAGCAGGGGCGCGGCTCGTGGCCCCAGAGGGGGAGCCCGTCCGTGAGGTCCTGGGGCCTGGCTTCCCTGCCGTCCCTCCCCCTGCATCTCCTCCTATGTCCTTTGTCTTGTCATAATTTAGGACCTTCCACTGCTGGTTTACTGCCTGCCAGCGCTTGAAGATGCGGTAGACAGAGGAGCCTTCGTGGATGATGAGGCCTGAGCAAGAGGGATAAGAAATCTAGGGTCAACTGCTGCCCAGACCTAGGTCAGAGGTGCTTAAGCAAGCATTTCTCCAGAGTAAAGAGATAGGGTTGCAAAGGGCCTGGAGAAACTGGGAAGGAAAGGGAACCAAGATAGCCCTAAAGGCTCTCAATAGTAGAAAAAGTGGCCATGAAGCTGAGGAAATGGGCAGGAAAAAGTTAAGTGTGTGGGTTGGAGGAAGCTGCTGATCAGGTAAGGGGGAGAGAGGTGCCCTCACCTATGCAGACGACATCCATGAAGCCGTACATGCCGTAGCAGATCTGAAAGAGAAGATCCTGCCGTTGCCACTTGGCTGAAGGGCTGAGTGAGGACCAGATGAGCCAGGAGATGCTAGCGACGAGGAAGAGAGAGCCCAGAACTATGGCCGCAATCTGGACCTTCTCAATGACCGTCAGGGAGATGGCCTGCCACTGTGTGAGAGAAAGGACTCCAAAAAGTCACAGAAAAAGATGGAGGGCCAGGCGATGGGTGGCTCTGAAGAGGAAGATGTTCTAGGAGCCTTCGGGCAGGATTAACAACTGTCCCCTCTGTGCCCTGCTCAAACCTAGAATGTGGCACTTCTCATGCTGTTTGAGACCATTTTTCTGTCTTATTTTAGAAAGGCAAGTGCTCTGAAGCCAGACCATGGTGTTTGAATTTCGAATCCTAACTGTCACTTCCTGTCTGAGTAACCTTGGGCAAGTTTTTAAATCTTTGTGCAGCAATCTTTAAAACAGAGATAATAATGGTATATAACTAATAGGCATATTATGAAGATTACAAGAGTTAATATATGCCAAGAGCGTGACACATAGAAAACACTATGTTTGCTATCATTGTCACTGAGATTATCTTTTCCTTTTTCGTTGTTTCCAGAGCCTAGACAGTGTCTGGAATGTAAGTGGCATCCAATAATATCTTTGTAAATAAATGAAGGGAGGATTTCCAGACAGGAGATGTGGTAATTGTGGAGAGAAGTAAGTAAATGGATGAAATAGGCTCCCTGGAGGGGCCCTGATTCTGATTGCTGAAAGGCCCTTGCCCCTAGTCTGAGAGTCCTCTCTTTGCACCTCACCTGCAGTGGATTCTTGGTGCTGATCGCCAGGACCTGGTACTTGAAGTAGCAGAGCTCACAACTCCAGGAGCCCCTCTCACTGATCCAGCGGATGAGGCAGGGCTGGTGCGTGCAGCGCACGGAGCCGTCGCAGCGGCAGGGGCTCAGGAGCTCCCCCTGGAGGAAGAGTGACGACGGTCCCTGTCAGCTTTCACCACCCGACCTCAACTCACTTCGCTCCAAGAGAGGAAAACCTCTCCATGTCATTCATTCTCCCACCTTCAAAAAGCTTAGCCTTTCAACCAAAACAGGACAAGAGGCTAAGGCTGCAGCAGACAAAAACAAAAGTTACAGCTCTAGATAAACTTTCCTAACCAAATAGATGAGGGATAAAAAGAGACTGGGGTGGGGGTGGCTGGGAACCGAGTCTTTTCCTAGAATTTGGAGAGAGTGGTCTTTAAGGCTTCCCAAATGTAAGGCTACTCTTTAGGATTTGGAGGGACGGGAGGGTCAGAGCTTCTCAGCCATGCCTTCCTCCCCCACCCCATAACTGTAAAGAATTTCACAGATGTGGTACAGACTGGGATGGGTTACCGTCCTCAGCTTCCAAGTATCGAAAATAGGGAGAAATCCTGGGGGTAGTAGGATTAAACGGTGTTACCCTTTAATCAAGGAATAATTTCTCACGACATAGAGACACCCCCAGCACTATTCCGGGACAACTTTGTCCATAACATTTAAACAAAGAGTACTCTTTGGAATGAGATGGAAAGTTGCGGAATGGGAAGTGAAGTGCCCCAAGGAGAGAAATATTGAGTGAGGCAACGGCGCCCAGCTTGGCCCCGCCCTTTAAGGTTGCCCACCTCCTCAGCCTACAAAGACCTTGGAGTGAGAGAAGTGGGAGAGAAAGACTGACCCCGTTAATCAATGAGAGATTTTGAGCCCTCCGAGGAGAAAGCCCCGCCCCTTCCTGGAGACCCCCCTGATCTCCCCCCTTCCCCCAAAACATACGCTCCGGGA